TGACTCATCCCGGCTTTCTGCTCCTTGCTGTTTCTGCCCGGATATAAATATCTCATTCATCGCCGTAGTAACTGAGTCGCTCTCGCAGGCTGCTCGTCCGCTCGGGCTCTGCGGTCGTCCGGCGCTGTTGAAACTTACAGGGAGCCCGGGGCTTCTGCCTTACCTGCCTTGTCCTCTTTTTCACATTCATCGCCGTAGTAACTGAGTCGCTCTCGCAGGCTGCTCGTCCGCTCGGGCTCTGCGGTCGTCCGGCGCTGTTGAAACTTACAGGGAGCCCGGGGCTTCTGCCTTACCTGCCTTGTCCTCTTGTTCGCTTTCAAATCCAAATAGCGCTTGGCAAATTAAAGAAGAAAGTGAGTGAAAACTTGTTAATGAAAGCTGGGTTTGTAATGATTTAATATTGTGGTAAGACGGTTTAAAGCTGGAAAAGATTGAGAACCTTTATAGTGGATAACTCATGCAGTTTTTGTTTTTCTTCCTAAAAGAAAAATTAAACCATCTGCCTAGAGTGTTCACTTAATTACATTTCCCTCTAAGGCCAGCTAAAACCACTGCCCAGATAAATGTCTATCATATTTTCCAGTATTTCTATCCATTAAGTGCCACTAGAGGATCAGTAATGGATGCAGTATTGATTCATTTCCAGTAGAACTGACATGTTTGAACTCAGTAGCTCTCAGTTTATTAAAAACAATCTCCTAGTCGTACCATCACATACTGTTGGAAGAGTACTCTGAAGAATTTATCTTCCAACTTGATCTCAATCGGGTGCTTTGCAAAGTCCTACCTGTTACATGAAGTGTTTTCAGAGACAAACTGCTGCAAGGTTAAACTAGTCCATACATGCAAGTCTCATCCAAAATCTCCACACAAGCCTTCTGGTAAGGTTGCAGAGCACTTGAATATTTTCCATCTTGTTGATACGGGGTGTGGTTTTGCAGACCTGCAACTCCTTGAAATTCAGTACATTTGGATAAAGAGCACCGTATAAGCGTAAGGCCATAGATTAGAGTGAACTGAGAGTGGTTACCTGTTGCAGAGATTGATATCAGGATGATGACCCAAACCTGTGAATATATCAGTGGCACACTGCCCTAAAAATGATTTGAACTCCGCTGCTACCGTTTGGTTGCCTCGCTAAATCTCCCTGTCCGTGCTTGGGTGAACACTTGCTGACTGAGACCATGCGTGCTTTGAAATAATTCTCCAGCAGCAGGAAGCGTTCTGCTAGAGCGGTGGTCTAGGATGATTAAGTTTGTAGCCGGTAAGTGTGGCTTGGTAACCTGGGCTGTAGCTGGGAACTGCATCCAGCCCTGGATTCACTCTGTTTTCAAGTGGGACGGTCATGGTGGCGGTGTTATTTGTAAAAAGAAGGCAATCTGTGACTGCGCTGTTGTTTCTGGACCTGTGCTTTTAGTGCATTAGAAATCGGTAGCGATATTGATCACCTACTGTTTTGTTTATAAACATGCAGCAAAATACTTTACAAGGCTACATCTCTAAATGCAAAAGGCAAGGCTCTGACCTGCAACAGTCGAATAGATGCGCAGTAGATCTTGGTGGCAGCTGGTGAACTGTTCTTACGGGTAGTATCATAATGCTGTTGCATTTTGTCTTTTGAATGATGCACGGTAAACGTAGCTTGATGCACGCTAGGATTTTGCAGATAAGGACTGAAACATAGCAGAGCCTCATCGCCAGGGGATTATGCTCACTGTATTCATTGGTAGACTGGCGTTGCCTGTTATCTAACGTATAACTCTGCTGTGGATTAGAATGTGACAGGTTGCACGAGGAAATGTCAGTCTGACTGGGACTCCCGTTCTCAGGTCAGCTGAGCAGTTCAGCCCACATGAAACAAGCGACAGCAGGGTTGGAGGAGTAGCAAGCTAAGTAAGCTTCAACAGGTGTAGCCTTTTATTCTCTCAAGGGTGCAGGAATTGAGAAGGGTGAAGTTTTTTCCAGGGAGTAATTGGTAGTAATTTTGATCTCTTTAGCTTTTTAAGAGGCAATATTCTTGCAGTGAATCTGTTACACCAGAAGTAAACCTCTTGCCCTTGCTTTGAGGCTTACATAGTCTGTATAATGCTTTATTTCCTTGGCTCCATCACATCTCCCATACAAGCCTTTGTCTTATTGTCTTAAACGGTTTCTGGACTCTCTTCCATTTTACTCCTGTAGTGGAAAGCTCTCCTTCCTCTGATCAGGTCTCTCAAGCTGCATGTCCTTTTTTAATCCCACTCATTCCTGAAAAATGGCCTTTTCTGAGATATTTACAGTATCTGAGTCAATATTTCTCTATTTCTTTTTGTAAACAAAACAGTCATTCACAATTCAAAATGAGTAATTCAGTTGCTGTGCTGTGGGCTTCTCTCAAAGGAGGACCAGTGATTCTGAAGTGCGTTCCCAGTCTGACATTCTTTTATGTGAAGCTGAAGATATTTCTTCCATTCAAGTTCTTAAGTCTCCCTTCTCATTTCAGTATAAAACTACCTCTCAGAATATATTGACCAAAGTGATTACTTTTTTTTCATCCAAAGCTTTGTTTCTTCATTCTTTTCCCAGGGAAACATTAACCACTATTTAAATAAGCTGTGGTCTGATTCTCTCTCTTTTTTTCTTTCCTCCTCCCTCCAGAGTTGCTGAGCTAAGCATGCTGAAATTTTCGTGAATTAGGCCTCACTGTTGCACATGGATCACTGTGCTGGTATGGAGTCTCATGCTTGTTTTGATCGACTGTTTTTTTTCTTTCATTTTCTGCATTGATTTGGAATTATATTTTGAAGAATAATCTTTGTTATATGTTCAGACTTGTTCTTCGATCCTCAGCGTAGTGTCTGGATGTCTCTGGACCATCCGTCAGACTGATTCTTTCAGGACAGATCAGTTCATGTTGTCTGGAAGGGCTCCCATTCACTGTGTAGGTGTTGCGAGAAGCGTGTTGGTTTCAGGAGTGTGGATCTCCACTGAACAAACCAGAACTGAAACGTGCTGGGGAGCTTTTGCTTTTTGGTGAATGGCATCTTTCACACCTGGTGATGTGAACGTAATGTGGTGATGGCATCTGGGGATCTGGTCTGAAGAGCAGATCTATTGTTAAAGGATCCTAAAGTCTTCTGAGCAGTTTTGGTTTTTTTTTTTTTTTCCAAATCTCCCTGCTTTATGAAAGTCTCAGTTTATGGAAGTGGCTGAAGGGTAACTGTATTGTGCAAAAGCTGTGCTTATCCTCTGCCTTAATTTCTTACATTTCTGAAGCATGATACGTCGTTGCCTGTAGAGCACTCTGGGATGGAAGAGGCAACATAAATATAGGATTACTGCTCCAAGGGAAGAGGGTTGAGTGTTGGCTCAAAGTTTCGACATTGGTTCTTTCCTATATAAATCACTACTTCAGTTCAAGCCGTAGCAAAGACTCAACTGAATCTTTCTGGTAGAGTACTTCAGGCATTTTGAAATACATGGCAAGAGGCAGAGCTTCCAGAGTATAGTCTTCATGAAAGAGTCCTCTCCTGTTTTCAATACTGAGTGAGTTTCAGAAGCTGGAGTTGCTGAAGATTAACAGAAGAACTTAGCCAATTTTGCACCAACTCTTTTTCTTCTGCAGCTTTTAGTTTGACGGATAATTTTTTCTTTGCCAAGCTACCTACTCACACAGTAACCATGCCACAGCACAGTTAATAGTTCTGTTTATCCTCAGTAACCAGTTGTACTGCTATTAATCTGAATTCCTTTCCAGGGAGGAGGGGGGTTAGAAGTTAGCCCAGGCGTCCTGCATAGCTAGACAGGTCGATGCTTTCCTTTTCCTTTTGCTTGCTCTGTTTATTATTATTATTATTCTTAATCTTGAGGCTACATTTGCAGATTGTGCTTTGGTTTGGGAACCTGGTTCTCTCAGTCCCAAGGCATTTCCAATGTAATCAGGAACCCTCTTGAGATGTTCCAACTCCTGCTCCACGTATATAGCATTTTTCTCATTCGAACTCCTTTAAGCTTTAAACTTGGTTTAAATATTTCTTCTAAGTGTAACTGCGCTCTCACACTAGTAAATTGTCTAGCTCCTTCGGTATCTGTTAGGTAGCTGTTCTGTAGTGTGAACTTTTCTGCATGCCTTTCAGGTAGACATCCATTCTGATGGCCAAGAGTGGACTACTACTTGTTTGGGAATGACTCTTTAAAGTGATGAAGAACTTAATTTTGAGAGTTTATCTTAAAGCCCTAAATATTGTTATTTGATTCGTCAAGTAGATTGTGCGTTGGACATAGTTATCCAGACTGTTCCTAATATAAAGAGCTAAAAGATGTTGATTAATCTGAAACTTCTTTTGAATCTGTTTTATGGCTTTTTCCCCACTTCCCACGTTGCCTTCTGAAATATTTTTTCCCCCCTTGTTCTTTATGGCTGTTTAAATTTCTCTCTACCTTCATTTTTCGTTATTGGAAAAACTTCTTATTTGGATGTTTGAAAAAAGCGACAAAACAAATAAAGTAAAACAGGGAAGGTATTTGGGCAAATGTTGCTGCTAGGTGTGGATTTCTGTTTTTTAAGTATTAATGTCTGGGTGAGAAATCCAGGACACACAACCATCTGTTCTTCCAATCCCTACAATGAATGTGGAATTTCCTCTGTTGACCATATGTTTTCCATTGCTGTTGGAACAGTAAAATGAATTCAAGGCAATTGTGGTCACTTTTTCCGCATTAAAATTTTTAAGCATCATAATAGAGAATCTGAGAAAGCAGAGAATTGGGAAAACGCTCATCGGAGGCTTAGGGGAAGAGAGTCTCCTCAGAACCTGTCTTTTTACCTCAAATTGCAGTTAACTAAGTCTTCAGAATCCCTCAAAACCTCCTTGCATGAATACATGTGTATTTTTGTGTGTGGTTGAGTTGGGAGGCATTAGGAGGCAGGCACACGGTGAGGAACTGTTCAGTCTGCTTTCATGTGAGAGTACATATGCCAAGCAGGAGTGAGAAATGCCACGGCTGGCAGCAGGCAGGCAGGGCGCTGGACTGGGGGGCACTTGTTTTTACTCTGCACGGTTCTTATTAAAATAAGAATGCATAGGATATCAGGGCCAAAACCTGGATATTACTTCACGATTGTTACATAATTCCTTGTTATGTATGAGTTCATGACCTATTGCAGCCTTATAAAATAACAAACAAAACACTCTATTCTTTCCTTACAGTCTTCCTCAGCTACCCAGAGAAAACCCTACGTGCCCCATAAGAGCACTGCCACATTGCAAGCCAACCCGATGGCGTCCTCTACTGCTGTGCCTGTAGGATTTCACTATGAAACAAAATACGTAGTTCTCAGCTACCTGGGACTTTTATCACAAGAGAAGCCCCAGGAGCATCATCCTCCTTCAGCTCAAGGTAATAGTTACATATTCATCTGTACCTGTTTACATATGCAACTATTTTTGCAATTAGTTCTTCAACTGTTTGTGCATGGGTGCAGAACGTTAGCCTGATGTTTAGTGTAATGCATCTCTTATTTTATTCATTTAAAATAATGGGAAGAGATGCTGATGGAAACAAAGCTGTTCGTATTTAGATTACTGTTTTAATTTGAGCTATGCCAGGGCCGACTGGTGTTGATGAAGCAAATCAGTGGTTTTAGTAGCTGTCTTCAGGTTAGGAGGGATGGATATATATTATCTTTGTTGAGGCATCTTGAGAATTTGAGCCCATGCTTGCTTTTTTTGGGAGGCAAGTGGAAGTAAGCAGGGGTGAGGTGGTGTTTACCAGTATAAACTCCGATCGATGACATGAACAATCTCATGTGCTAAATAGTTTTGCCCTATTACGTTAATGCTTCTTGTTGTTGTCAGTCAGTGGTAGTGCGGAGATGTGAGGCTTAACCTGGCCTGTGCTGCACCTGTTTGTTTGTTTATTTTTAAGAAGTCAAGGACTGCATGGAGTCAGACAGAGTCAGATGTTTCTTCCAGAACAGATTTATGCTATATGCATAAAGGTTAAATAAATAAATAAGAGGCAGAATAAAAGAAGCTTGATAGGTTGTGTTTCACATAAACCTACATAGTAAAACTTCCTTTATTTTGTGGTGGCGAGCACTTAAACAATGTTGTTTGTCAAGATTGTTTTGGTGGCTTGTCACTTCTTAATGACGTTTCAGTCACTACTAGTTCCTGTGATTCAGAACTTATTCTGATGAAAGGCATATTAAAAAAAAAAAAAGTCTTCAGAATCTTTTTTCTTGAACAAGCTTTTAAGAATGCATACTCTGTTACTTACTGAACTTACCTGTCATGAAATGAGAAATTCTTGAAAAGAAAAGATAGCATCAAAGTTATGACAGAAATAATTTTATCAGTTTGGCATGAAAGCATATAGCATAATCTAGCATATGCTGGTTATATTATATATCGTTTATAAAATTAATCTTAGTATATTTGAGGTATGTCTATTACTTCCACTTTGACTGCATCTGTGGTCCGTGAAAGGAGAGGTACCTTAGTGCCAAGAAGCTGTTTCATAAAACCCTTTGTTGGAAAATGTGCTTTTGATAATTTGGCTGTAGTTACCTTTGAAATATTTGAAAATTGAGGGGAAACCTTTCAACTGATTCTTATTACCTCTAAGAAATATTTAAATTAAAGAGCAATATTAAAACTGTATAAAGAGGAAGCTACAAATGCTTAAATAAAAATTTTGTAGTCAATTAAGAGGACTTTTAAGTTCCTGAGTAAAGATAACTGTTGAGTCTACTTTTCAGGTATTATTTAGATATGTTAGCTTGTGTGACAGCAGGCTGTAGTTGGTTTTGCTGTTAAAACACTCTAAAGCATTGATACTTTCCAAATCTGTTCTTTCATCCTTGTTGCTTTAAACCTTCCCTTCTAAACAGGAAATTCTCCTACATTTCCCCCACCCTCACTCCCAAAACTAGGCAGTGAACACAACTTCTCCTCCCCTGGTCATCTTTCACTGTAATTATTTCATCTCTCTTTCAGTGTTTTTCCTGCTTTCTGATCAAAGACTCTGGATAAAATAATTTTCCCTTACTTTTAATCTGCCGTGCTGTTTCTCACTCTCTTTTGTAATGCCTTGGATGGACTTCAGGCTGTTACTGAACTAAGTGCAAACACTTTATCCTTCTGCTTCAGGATTTGTTTCATTCTTTCCTAACTCACTTCTCCTGTTGCTTTTCTGCTTTCCATGCTTCCAACAGCTTTCATTTGTCTGACAGTTACTTTTTAAAAATCCTTTCTCCTACTTCTTTTCTTGTTGCTTGTAATTGAACAGTTGTTGCAGGTGCACTCTGAGGGTATGTGTGGTAACAGCCGTGTGTTTATTTTGAAGTAGTGTATGCATCTTCTTTGAATATTAAGTAGTTTATATATACAGTCTGTATCTCCTTGTTGTCTGGCATGTGGTTGATGCCTGCTTGCGGAGAGCTGTACCAAAGCACTCTGCTCTATATGCTCTATATTCTTCCCTAGAGAGACAGCGAGAGAAGAAGCAGCCTGTAATGGATATTACCTGCACTGCCTAATGCACTGCTGGAAGGTAGCTGGGTATTACAGTAAGAAGCGTGGTATGAGAGACCTGGTTAGGACAAAAGAGATGCGAAAGCCAGTAAATGAAAATGAATAGCTGTTGTGTAGAATCCCATCATGAAGAGGAAACTTCTGGTTTTTGGTAAGGAAGACGTATGAGGGGTGGCAACGGTACGACATTACATTGTGCTTGTCAGTGTGTTTTTAAAGCAGTGTCATCAACCGTTGATCCGATATCTTGACTGATCCCGTGTTCCTTTCATTGATGATTTTTGTGGTACTTTAAAACGGTGGTCAGTAGTCTTTCTACTCTCTGTGGCTGAACGCTGTTGATCTATGAATTGAGAGGATTCTGATACAAAGTACCTGTCACTTTATCTTATTTGCTTTAATTTGGTTATTGTCCTGACAGACCTTTCATGGGAAACAGTTGAGGCAGTGATGTTTGGCTATTGCCTGTTCCTATTTTAGTTGATGTTCTCTATTTTATGTGTTTTGTTCATATGAGGTATTGACTCTGGTATGTGGTACTTTCCCTTCATGTATTTTTCTTAGGTCCAAATAAGTCCTTACTCTTTGTCTGATTTATGTATCATGTTACAATATAAGGGGAGTATCCAGAAAGGCTGGCTTTGTCCTCACTATGTTAATCTCTTTCAAGTCTCCTGCAGTATTGGAGAGTGGAGGACTCCTCTAGAGGGCGGTTCAGAGCAGGATCCTGATTACAGCCACCTTCTATCACCGGCTGGAGGATCTTCTCTCTTTCCATTGCATGTATACAGAACGTGGCAAAATAAGGCACACTAGGTGTAGTTAGTATTTCCGTACCTCCCTTGAGTCTCCTTCTACAGCAGTCTTCCAGATTTCAGTGAAGTTTCAACACTCCAGTTAAACTAGAAAATGTATCTGATGGCTCAAAAAACCAACCAAAAAAGCTATCTTTCCCAACAGGAGTGGTACTATTTTATCTCTGCTAGAACTGGCAGGAGAAGTTGAATGCTTTTGTCCATTCCTCTCCCTTTCCTCCTATGGTCATCTCCCCCAAACTTGTTTTCCTGCATTTCATGCTAGAGACTTCTTTTTCTGATGTATGTCTTTTTGTTCCAAAAACTCAGATAAGAGTAAATCTTTAAGCTATTTGTTAGATTTCATCTTAAAACTTCTCATTTTTTGCAGACATAATATGCTTTAATATGCTTTACCAGAGTGATGGTTTTCGGAGGGATTTTATTTAGTAAAGAGAAAACTCAGGCAAATTACATAGAAAATTACCTCATTGTGTTTCCTTTTGGATCTCTTGGTTGGTCTTGATTTTGGTGCAAGAAAGATGGCTTCAATTAGAAGAGCTAAAACCACTGCTGACTTCAAGCAAAGAAATCCGATCTTTAAGTCAACATCTGATTACTACTTCAAAAGTTTTATTTACATAGCTGCTCTTCAGTGCAGGGACTGAAGAGAGAACCATCCGCAGTATTCCAGCCTCTTGAAAGAAAGGCAGTTTTATTGGATAAACCAATCTTTTGACATTACAGCTCCATAGCAGTCTGTAGTGGATTTCAGTGTAGTATTCTGTAGTGGATTTCAGTGTCTCCAGAGGAAAATCCGGCAACTTTAGCTGGGCAATATTTTGAGAGATCACTTCTATTGCAGTTTTGGCAGAATAGTGATTCTGCGTAGCACCCACTTCAGTGTATTTAAAGCAAAGTCCATCAGCAGTAAACTTTGTTACTTTTTTGGTAGGTTTTCAGATAGGTGAATAATACAAATTGCTTGGATAGATCTGATAAAACACACATGGTAAGATATCATCTGTGTAAGTTCATGTCGTTTGAGGCAACAGATGAGTACAATTATTTAAAATGTGTGTGGAAGCTCTCAGTTATCTGTTTATTACATTGTGGAAAGATGCTTTAGTATTTTTTCAGAACTCCTGTAGTATCTATAACTACTGGTTCGTACACAGAAAATAAATATCAAGTATTGGAAAACATTTCTACATTTTCCCCCCTGAAGTTCACGCTCATATAGAAGCTTCCAGTCTGCTGCAGTTGTTAGTGCTACTTACTTTTTAAGTGAGTCGAAGTACTTTGATTTTGTGATTCAATATATTTGTATTATAAATGCTGCTTTATGTTTCACCAAGGAGTAATTTTTAGTGTATTTCTGGTTTTTAATCTACTTCCCCATGGTTTGACCCTATCCCATGAGCCTGTGGCCATAATGAAGATTCTGAAGGAAAGTAGTTTTCCTGTGTTTTCCTTGACAGAATGAGAAATCTTAAATAATCCCTTGGCTTTCATAGCATCTGGAAGGTTTATAATCAATGCCACTACTGCATGGTGGCATAGCTTGCTCAAGAGGTGAACAAGGTTTTGACAGTTTTACAGTTTCCCTAGGTGTATGCTAGTCACAGTGCTTTAATCCAATTATTGTGCACGATGTTCTTTTAACCATTTATTATCTGTTTTGGAATTGCTGTATGAAGCGCTGTATATATTCAATGAGCAAGCCATTTTAGTGGTTTCTCACACACATTTCTTACAGCTGAGCAGTGTTGAACTGGGATAGTGGGAGGGATGGGTTTTACATTTATTTGTTTACAAGCTTTGGTTAGAAGTGAACTCTCACATCTCAGGAAACACACTTATAGATAGGCAGAGATGGTCAGGTTTCGTGCGTTGTGGGTGAGCTCAAGGCTCCTTAGTGGCCATCCCAAATCTAACAATAGTACCTCTTATATATGGTTTTGACCGTCATGGGTAGGTTACCTGCTGTTGTTTATGTCATCAGGTGGCTGTTGGAGTGGCTGTTGCAGAGTATCTTGGTTTTCTTTGTACTCCATCCCTGTATCTTCACTTACCCTTCATAGTACCTGTTGTTGGTCTGTAGGTAATGAAGGAGTTTCTGAGGTGTTTTTAGCTTAGGTGAGTAACTCGTTCCTTACAAACTTTCCTCTTAGGGCAAAACATACCTACTTTGGCTGAAAAGTCACAATCTGAAAAGCTACATTGTACATCAGACCAATCCAGGTCATGGTAACGGGGGGAGCTATTTCCTGAACCGAGGCAAGGAAAGGGAGCTCTCGGGGTATGACTTGGAGGAGAAAGATGTGGTCCCTCCAGGCATGTGAATTCCCACTTAATTAAGCCTTCTCTCTGGCTACAAAATAATAGACAACTAGTTGGCAATGTCTTATCTCTTTTTGGTTCTTCATATTTTGGACTTTTTTAGTTTCTTCTAAATTGAGCCTTCTTACGGTTTATAAAGAACTTTTAAACATCTTTTAAAATCACGGGCTACGTCTGTGTATGGCTGTCTGTTCTGGAGTTTGCTGGGGTAATGGATATACTTTTCATTAAAGGAAACAGATGAATACATTTGTAAAGAGATTTCTTATATTTTTGTCACTTCTCAGTACTTGCAGAAATTTTAGACGCTTTTTCTCATTGTTTTAAAAAACCTGAGATGTTAAAGAAATACTAGAATCATGCTGAAACTAAATTTTTAAGTCAATGTTAACTATACTGACGGTAATATAGAAACCTAGGTGAACTTGAAAACAGAGATATTGGTAAATGAAAACTACAAGCATGAAGACAAAAAAAATCGGGAGCCATCTGTGACATCAAAGGCTTTCTTTTTCATTGACCCTGCATTCACTTGAACTAAGAAGACATAACAGCTTTTCAGTCTCTCCTTATAGTTGCTGTTGTCTCTTGTTAGCTGTAGTTTGAAACAAACACTGTAGAATCAGATGTGCCGGCTCTCTCGCTCAGATGAATGACTTCCCATCCCTCCTCCTCCTGGGGTCAAACCTGGAGAATGGGTTAGTCTTTTATTGTTACTAAACTTCTGGAATGGCCTTATCAGTGGAGTTTTACTGAAGTGTTACTTTATTTAGTAGTCGTAACACTGTCTGATTGTCAGTGATGCAGTGCTTGATGGACTTTTAGAATACGTTTTCCCCTACTTTGCAGGTTACCTCCAAATACCTGAAAAGCAAGAACATGCTTGTGCAAAAGGGAACATTTCTTCCATAAATAGAAAGTATAATGCACTAACTTCCTTGTGTAAGACTGTGTAACAGAGGTTTGTTGTGTCTTTGGGCTGGGAAGAGGCCTTTCAGAGTCAGTTTACCAAAAGCCCCTAATAGGCAAACCTGTTTTTTCAGCATAGGAAAGCATTCAGTGTTTATGCATCTTACAGGTACCATTTCTGGTGTGACCATTTGCATTATTAAACAACTAAAACATGTTCTCATCTACTAGAAGCTATTTTTACTGTTTTATTCTACCTATTTGCAAACTGACTTGGAAGTCGTCTAGAAGAGAAAAAGGTACCGCTCGCTTAGGACCTTTGCTATTGGAATACGCTGCTCTCCAACATTGGGTGCAATTTTTGTTGGTAGGGGTAAACATACAGGAGATGCAGAAAGCTGAAGTCCATTGATAATTAGGGGAATAAACAGTGCAAAGTCGCTGGTCCGGGAGGGGTAGGTTTTTGATGTTTTGGCACGACTGAATAGTCAGGTGCTATTGGAATCAGCAGCTGCTGCAAAGTTGTGGGTGTTACGAGATGGAAACCATTGACTGCAGCACTGATTATCTAAACAGCTCTTTTGTATGCTGACAGCAATGGAATTTCTCCTCCTTCCATTTTCCGGGTGACTTATTATCAAGTATGACAGCTTGTCATGTGTGATCATCATCACATTAGTCCCGTGAGAACGGGTGCTCTTCTGAATAGCCTCATCCCTTCCATATACAGGGTGAAGCACAGGTTAAAATAAGAGTTGGTACTTGCATATACTTGTTGCACTTGACTGTGAAGCAATGGTTCGGTCATTCAAAGAGGCGACCTTAAAGGGACTGACAAGGCATTAGTAAGTGTCTGTTCATTAACCAAAAGGAGGAACAGTTTGCTCCTCTCTGGAATTTACTGTTCAGAGTGGCAAAGAGAGACTGTTTGAGAAGGGATTTAAGAAGCTAAATAAAGTTATTCTGAACATGGTGATGATGATCTAACTGTGTGGTTAAGTAAAATGGAATTAAACTGACTATCTGTTGTTCCTTTAAACTGTTCACATAAATAAACAGAAACATTTTACACTGACTTGTACATTGGTTTAGAAAGATTTTGTCTCACAGGTATCTTGAGCACTGAGTTTTTAAGCATTAGCATACATTCAGTGCGTTGATTCTGTGGATTTTTAACTTATTTTTCAAATGTAGGAGACCTTGCAAGCTTACTGTCTACTGTTTTTTTAAATACAGAAAATGCACAGTGTACTTTACTAGGCATCTGCGTGTGTTAACTAGTATTATTGCTTTTACAGTTTTCACACACTCTGGCATGAAAACTATTGATACTGTGTGTCCATTATGGAGGAAAGGGGAAAGCGATACAACACTTTAAGTGAGTTTAAGCAGATTTAAATAGAGATGAACCGAAGAAAATAGACAGTTGTTCATAAGACCACCAAATTATGATTTAGTGTCTTCAAAACAGGCATGAAGAAAGACATGCCAGAAAGCTACATGGGGTATTGCAGAACTTACCTGAAGATTTGGATGTTAAATATAAGCGATGAGGAAGAAATGAAGTCAAATGATATCAGCATTACAGATACAAATCCTTTCCCTTTTTATTTTCTTCAACTGAGTGAAGAACATCTGCAGAGCGGAATGATGTCTAGATACCCAGGTAGAGCTGTAGGCAATTGGTGTAGGTGCAGAGAGGGTAAGATAGGTTGGAGAGTCATCAGTATTTGGGTGCATGAGTAAGAAACAGTGGACATGGGCAATGTTATCAGAAGGTCGGCCAGGAGAGGGTGTTTAAATCATGGGCACGAGAGAATATAAAGTCCCAAAAAAGAATTAGAAGGAATATTCAGAAGTAAGAGAGCTAAGAAAATGTGTTTTGGGTAACCCAGTCACTGATACTGTTGAAAGTAGCAGAGTGCAGGGCTAATGAGGACTGATAATTGACCCAAAACGTAGGGAAGGAAAAGGCTGGAAGGGGGATTACTTGGCAAAGGGAAGTTTTGTGGTCAATTTTATTTGTTTATTTATTTATTTCAGGAGTAAGTTGATACAAAATTTACTTCTATATTCGTGTGGATATAACAGAGATCCATTTTATCTCCAAGTAGGACATTTTAAGGAATTGAAAGAAAGGAAGAAGAAAATTTCAGTAGTAGGCTGTTGATTCAGTGATATTTGGTGAAAATAAGACAGCAGTTAATGGAACAGTTTTTGTAGTGTGCTTTAAGAATGGGATTTGAAGACAAGCTTGAAAGCTGATGGAAGAAATAAAGATGAGCAAACCCAAAGAAAAAGCAGCTAAATAGCAAGAGTTTTGAGCTGGAACTCTGTCCCAGACATCTAGTCTTTCCATTAGTACCCATCCCATAAAGCAGTTACTTGAGTAGTTACCTTGCCATACAGCCTTATATTGGAAAGGTTGACATTCAGCAGGCAGTTCCTTAAAGATTCAAATGTTTTAAATACCTTGGCTTGTTTGAAAACAGTTTGTGTCTCTCTTTTGCTACAGCATAATATTTAAGAGGATTGAGAGTCTATGTAATCCTGAATGATATGGCTGAAACAACTTGTTACCAAATATCTAGTCAGCACATGGAATATGTATTTGTGATGCCAAACTGCGACATGTAGGGGGTATGCAGCCATTTCAAATTCCTAAATGACTTAATTAGGAGATGAGAATTGACAATTGACTGACAATTTTGGGGTCCTTTGCCTCTATTGTTAGTTGTGAACCTGGTCTTAAATTATTTCATTGTGGCCTGTAGACTCCTCATGAATAACGAAACGATGCAGAGTTAATAGATTTCGGGACTCTTCATTGATGTCATTACATAGTTGCTCTCAGTATTTTTGTAGATTTTGCAGGCATCGATATCAATTTTATATTTTGCTGCTAAAAATCAAGCTTATGCTATGTCTGCTTTGTTTTGGTGTAGTTTGATAATGAGTGTATTAATGACTGGTGCCTTAGTCTGATTTTGGTCTTAAATTTAAGGTAAGATTGTTTTTAAAGCCGCTATATATTCTGTTTGTGGCTTTACAGTTCTAATTTTTTTTTTAATATTCATATTTAAAGTACCTATTCTATCTTGAATAGGCCTGGAAGTTTATCTGTTTCTGGGTTCATATAATAAAACTTTTGTAATAAGTGTCCTTAAGGGATCATACTTTTTGCGTTGCTGTCTGAAATAGAACTTTCACCTTTATAGTTAATATTTCAATATCATGTTCCATTATCTACTTTATTCGAAATACTACATTTGAATAATTTCTCTGGTTTCTTTTAGGGACTCAACAACCGCTTATGGCACAACAGGCTTTGGAGAAAGAGGCTTTGGAGAAGATTAAGATAGAAATCGAGGAGGAGCTAAAACATCTTGATGAAGAAATCTTGGAAGGTGCTCTTCAGATTTTCCCATTTCAATTGATAGTCTCTATGCCCTATAATGGTCGTTAATTTGTAACAGGTACTCTAGTTAAAGAGATTTTTGGATGCATTGGATCTCTTTACCCTCCTCCCCCCGCAAGATTTCTACACATTGTCACATGAAATAAAATAGTTAAACGTTACCGTTTGGAGCAGTGGAGTCTAGACAAAGCAAACAATTGAATGACATTTAATAGGCTACTATAAATAATGAAATGTAAGCAGCCCTTAAGCTGCTCCAGTTGATGACAGAAGTTAAATCATTCTTCAGCAGCTAACATACAGGGGAGTGCGGACTTAAACCATCTGATTTCTCACTTCCACCAGGTTTATTTTTTGTGACATGCTTTGACCTATAGATGTGGCTTTTATAGGACTCCCAGCAAGGGATGATTTGGAAACAATCTTTGCTTTGCATGTGTGTTGCAAATTGGAAATCTGAAGTAGAAAGGCTCTAGATCTGTTTACGTTCATCCATTCAGACCTTTCTTAGAAGTTTTAAATTGTGAAGGAAAAGGTTATATGAACAAAATATTATTTTAAAAAATGGTACTCTAGTACTGCTGCAGATACGTCCATGTGTGGGCAAATTTTACCATGGAAAAGAGGCTCTCTTGCTGCTCCATCAGGGTTCACATCAGCTTAAAATTGAGAATAGTTGCACAGTCAGCTAACTTGCTGGTTAGGATGCAGTTGTGAAATAAGAACTGGAGGGGAAATGTAGCTCAAAATCATCTGTGACTTGTAAGTACCACTTCCAGAATATATTTGGACCATACTTGTTTTACTACAATTGGTTCATAGCATGCTTTGACTATAGAGTTGTGATTTCTTTGTCCCTTACGTAAACTGTGTTAACTGGTGGGATAAGAAATCTGAGACTGTTGATGTTCTTATATGAATCTATTTTATTTTATTTTGTATACTTTTTTTTCCTCAGCATTTACCACTACAGGATTTGACTGCCACACTTCCCCAGTGTTCAGTCCTGCCAATCCAGAGAGCTCAATAGAAGACTGCCTGGCTCATCTGGGGGAGAAAGTATCCCAGGAATTGAAAGAACATCTGCACAAAGCACTGCAGAGCTTGCTTAGCAAGTGAGTTTCCGTTTGCTTTTTCAAAGGGAAGGTGTTTCCTTTTGCATGGAAATGCATGTGACAGCTGCTGAAATGCTAAAGATGGGACTACATTTTGTATTACATTTCTTTCTTTTTCAGTGTTCCTTTATCTGGCTGGTTTTTTGTTTTGTGTTGTAATGTGCAAATACTTCTTTGTGGTATTTGCTCTTTGCAGTAATGTAAGTTCTAAAATTTTTCTAAGCTTTTATCGTTGAACTTCTGAGACTAACTCAAGTAGTTTGAGTTGCTGGTGAAACTAGCAGCTGGCAGCTGCCAGTTGCCATTGCCAATTTCATGAATGCTGGGCTGTAGCCAGATTAACTTCTTTTACCTTATGGTTAAGAGTAGAGCTGAAGGTTTGTTTGTAGTCTGGCTCAAGATGAGTGGGAGAGTTTCCCTGAAAGGATGGTAGTTAGATGCTTTATGACCACCATTCAGGCACACATCTGAAGCAAATGTGGGCCCCTGGGCTAACCTTGGTGCCTTAAGAACTGTCCTTCTAGTTTAAACTTATTGTTTAAATAGCACATTGTACGTGGCATGCTGGTATCTTGATTGTCTTTTGCAAATTGGTAAAATTGTTGTGATTGCTTGTTTTTCTATTATAAATTACCAGCTTGATTTTAATGGATCCACATGAACTACTTCTGGCTGTTCTGAGTGACCTCCAGAATGTTTTTGTAGAGAGCTGGAGGTGGAAGGTGCTTCTTTAGGAATAGTTACATAAATGCAGTTGTGAAGGCAGCATTAGCAAATAGCTATCTGAATCTGTTTGTGGATTGGTTTAGATAATACGGCTCAAAAGAAGCTGAGAATCTCTAGCACTACTCTTCCAGAGTTTGCGTAGCTGTTCATGAACTGTTTGAACAACAAGATACTGGAAGCCTAGATATCAGCACCTAGTGTAAACTTTCTGATGCATGGGGCTTAAGCCTTCTATACATGCATTGGAGGGGCATCTCGTGCCCTCATGAAGGTAATACCCTTTATGGCAGACTTCTGGAAGATTACAAATTTGGAAGTCATTCCATCTGAACATCAGGAAACACCTTTTTACTGTGAGGGTGACTGAGCACTGGCGCAGGTTGCCCAGAGCAGTTGTGGAGCCTCCATCCTTGGAGATATTCAAAAGCTCTCTGGGCATGGTCCTGGGCAGCCTGCTGTAGGAGACCCTGCTTGAGCAGGGAGGTTGGACAGGATGTTCTCCAGCGGTGCCTTCCAACCTCAACCATTCTGTGATTCCTTAACTAGACCGTCTATTCCTTAACTAGCTCCCTAGTCAACAATTAAGGGTTGACTTCTTATGACCAATATAATTTAAAACTGACTGTTCAAAGTCAGGTGGGACAGGGCTTTGGGCAGCCTGATGTAGTGAAAGATGTCCCTGCCCATGATCTTTAAAGGTTCCTTCTAACCCAAACCATCCTATGATTCTATGACTCTGACCTGGATTTTGCAGCAAAGGTGCCATGTGACATCTGGCCAGACAGATGAAGATGGTTGTCTCTTTCCATGAGTCATCCACTGGAAAAGTACACTCTGTCAACTCACCAGTTAACTTTCAGAAACTAATATATATATTGTCTGCTTCTATATGCAGTTTTTGTAGGGTCAAAAAATAAGTTCCGTATTGTGTAAACTAACAATTATTTACCCACAGAAAAGAGGGGTACAGGTTTCTCCTTAAGTGGCAAAAGGTACGCCAGTGTGTCCCTCCAGAAATGGCAGAAGCTTATTTGCCTTTACAAGCCAGGCATTTGCCCCATGTGGCCTTACAAACTTAGTATCTTCTGAAGAGCTGAGGTTTTGGTAAATACCTCGCTACACACTAAAAAAACCAGACTGGCAACAAGTTGGAAAATTAGCAGTAAGTCCTGCAACCCATCCTTTTTGTGTGTCTAAAATGGTAAATTGAAGTAACAGCATTTAAAGTTTAAATGTCTTAAAGGTTGTAGATAATGGAGTATTGGCTGACTGTCTGACAGTGAGGGGTCATAACTGGTGCACTCTAGGTTGATTCTTTTTGGAGAGTTCCTGAGATAAGGTCTTTGAAAATTAAGTGGTTCTAGCTTGTTAGTAGCCTGATGTTCTAGGCTTCTTGTGTTTTCTATGGGAAAATACTTGCATTCTAAGTATTTATTTTTTTTATTTATGTACGTACATCCATACATATAAAGTCTGAAATGCCTGTGAAAATATGTCTATATACATACAAATGCCTTTTTATAGGGCAATCTAGAACTACTGTTTAATCTTTTGATAATATCCTTCCAGCTGTTGTTGCTCTTCTCATCCCACTGATTCATTTGGATTTGTGTTTTAAAGGAACTAATGTACCAAGGAAGTTAAGAGAATGCACTTAAAACGATGAACCCAAATTATGTTTTCCCCAGTGTGCTTTAACTCTCTTTTATCCATGTGTGCTACAGCTATTTGATGCAATACTTATTTTGCTTATATTTGATATTTTCTTGTCCTCTTATATGCATATAAACAAGTATGTTACCGTACAGCAGACTGTTAGATCATGACAGGTTCTTGGAGTTCAATAAGCAGTCTCTGTCCAGCACCAGTTATCACTTTTTCCCTTAAACTAAAGTCTGAACTTACCTTCTGTCATGGTCTGGCTTCGGGACAACTGCTTTTGAAGCAGTACGTCTTCTGCTGTCGCTTGGCAGAAAGTCTTTATTGTTGCTGACTCTAAGAGGCTATGTGATCTTGGAGGAAAGAGTATGGAAGAGGGGAATTTCATCATCCCAATTCAGAGAAGTAGAGATGTGATAAATCTAAAATAGAGGCATCTACTAAAATATGAAGGGGTTTTTGTGATCAAAAGTGCTGTTTCTTGCAAATAAAGGCTTCAACTGTAACCTAATGTTAATGCAGTCAAGCAGCCTGTGTTGGTTTATAGCCTATATTGTTCATAAAAATTTTACTCTGCATTGGCCTCTCTCTCACATATGAATTTCTTAGTGAAATTTTTTATCTTTAAAGTCTTAGACTATAAAAAACTATATGCAAGAGCTTAGAAATTTTGGTAGCATATCAGAGAACCTACTTATCTAATGTCCTTTAAGTTGTAGAGTATCAAATTACTATGAAATTCACTTAACCAATTATGTGAAATTGTGTAACTGGGAGAAGGTGATGCCTTCCTGACCCTGTCTGGTGGTGGTGTTTTATGTCCTGAAACGTGAGACTTGTTAGCTCTTGAAAATTATTTGCTGTAATACATGTGAAAATAATTTGTTCTCTGGAAACTGAGAATTTTATTTTATTCTTGTTCTTTTGTTTCCTTTTATAACTTTCAGTGTTGGTTTAACTTCTGCAGGCCGGTGACATACCAAGAATATCGAGAGCGCACACAAGAGACAGCTGCTCACGCCAGTGGATGGAACAAGGTACCCAATAAGTGACTTTCACTTCGATATCTCTCTCATTTATTTGATGTCCATAGTGTTTTTACTTGGTACAGCTATGCTTCACAGAGGACCAAGAATAAAAAGAAACCACTTGTTTTTAGTATGAAATAACTTTCATTCTCAGAATGGTAAATGTGGACATAAGACATAGTTTTTAGATAATTTAGCCAGAAGTTATCTGATGGAAGTATTAGGTGAATCTTCCTTTCTTATAGTAAAATGAAAAGTTATAGTTGTTGCTTGACATAATTTTTTAAAAATAATCATTAAACATTTTTCAATTCTCAAGAGAGATTTATTTCTTTAGCAGTTTCGTAATGAAATCCGAGACAGATGTTTTCATAATATTTTTCTACTGTTTATTTGCTTCCATCTCAGGTTCAAAATACATGTAAAAAAAAGTGCTAAGCATGGTGAAAATGAAAATTGAATCGTATCTTCACAATATTTAAATTGTTCAGAAAACGTAAGGATGGTGTGCCTACCTACCTGATTTCAGGAGTAGTTATCTCAAATGATATGAAGCATCTTTTTAAAACAATATGCAAATCTGTAAATGAACTATCTTATAATAATTTTAATGTAGAATGAGTAGAATTACTGTTCCCAGATCCATCTTTCATTATCATTCAAATTCATCATCTTAATCATTCTCTGATGGGTTCAGTGGGCATCAGAAAAAGAATGAAAGAATGAAATAACTATTTGCAAATTTAATCACAAATTGAGTGTTAAAATTTAGTCTTAAATTTAAAACGGAACAAGAAATCTTTTTTCCCTCTTACATTTTTTTTTTCCCAGAAATACTTTTCCTTAACTAGATTTCCCTGCTTACTTCAGAAACTTATCATCTAACCAAGGGTGTGGGCACTTTTAAAGCAATTTATTAAACATCGCTTCACAAGTTACTGCCCATGGCTCCAGTAATTATAATTGGGGTGTGTGTGCTTTCAGCTTATCATCTTGTGATTCATAGCATTTTAGTTCAAACAACCATGAAATCTGATTATCAGGAAGGTGGCTTAAGCTAGCACATTTTACTTTTCAGTTGGGGAAAACTAAAAACAAGCATAAAACCAGTCATTGTGGCTCAGCTGGAAAGGGGGTGGATGGAGCTTGTCAGTTGCCTACTGCATCTCCATATGCTATTGGTACACACCTCTTGAAGATACAGCCCTGGGTAGATGGATCAGCCGCATTTGGGGGTTTATGATTCAGTTTTCATTGCTGCTACATTTGTGCAGCCCCTGTGGCTAGTGGATTTTGGTCCCCATCAGCTTGTGATTGAGAATATCATCCAGAACATGTCTTTGTCATCATCTTTGCTTACCCATAACATTTGTTGCTACCAAACTTATAGTCCACAAGCAAACCAGAATGGAAATTTCATAGAATAATACAGCATCTGTTTGTATTGG